GCCTAAGACTTCCCAGCTTCCAGAACTATGATTGATACATTTCTATTATAAATTACACAGACTGAAACACAGGACGTGTGGACCAGAATGCTAACTGATCTCCAAAGCTGTCACCTCTTCTTCCTGAACCCACAGCCTAATTTATAATTTCCTTTTCAATAAGGTATAGATTAGATTGTAAGTAGAAGTAAGGTACAGCACTCACAGCCCTGACCCATTAAAAGGAGTACCTTCTGTGTTATTCCTGAAATGCTGAGTGTAACTGAGCTGAAAGATGGAAAATGCTGGACCCCAAAATTTATAATGTAGAGGAGGGTCCCTCCATGACCAGGAATAGTAATTTGGGGATTTTATGTGAGGAAAAAGTTATACCTTTATTTTCTTAAGACTCTGAGATTTTGGAATTTATCTTTTCCAGCAGCTAGTGATTTGAATGCAAGGATACTTAGCCACTGAGCCACAACCCCAATCATCTTTATTTTTCATTCTGAGACAGTGTCTTGCTAAGACCTCACTAAATTGCTGAGGCTGGCTTTCAACTGGTGATCCTCCTGCCTCAGCTTCCAAAGCTGTTGGGATTATGTGCGTGCACTGCCATGCCCAGCAGCTAGTAATATCTTAAGTAAAACAGAAATAGGTACTTTAAAGTACTGTGCTAAACTTCAAATATATGATATTATCTTAACAGGAAATGAAGACAGGAAGTGGGAAATATATACAGCCATGTGTCAGAGTGGCCAATATGATAACTGGGAAAGCAAAATAAAGATAGCTCCATTGAAATGAATGGAAAAACTCATAGCGGCAGTGTGTAGGCATCACTTCGGTTTTTAGCCAAATATTCCAAGAAAAGAATGATTTGAGGCATGAATTCTAAGCAGAACGTAAAGAACTTCAGAGTCTACAAATATGGAAGCTTTAAGATCTCGAAAAGCCAATTGTTTCAGAACTCAAATAATAAGTAGTAAAGATTAAAGAGGCTTTGAAAGACAAAGTCCATTAGACCTTAAGAGGACTTCAATCAGATTAAAGGGTGTAGATTTCTACCAAGTCAATTATCTCTCCTTTGACTGCCAAATGAGAAAGCTGGAGGGAGGGGGAGGCCAAAAGGAAAAATCAGTCATGAGAATTGTCTTGAACTCTGTGCATGGTCAATGGTACATAGAAACTATTGGAAGCAGAGAAGTCTATTGGATTCTAAGGTAATTACATTACCAAAGAAACCACAAGTCCAAGCCAACACAGCCTTTGAATTTAATCTTATCTTCAGGGAAAAAAATGTGAAAGCTATAACCTTGGGAAGAGGATATAGTACCCAACAAATTTTCCTTGTAGAAAAATAAAAATAAGGAACAAACTCCCAGAGGCTACAAAGAATACACACATGCCAATTCCTCCCACAGTGCCCAGGCAGCGTCTCATCAAGACACTCTGTACCAGCAGGTAAGAAGAACCTCTTCAAGACAATTGGAAGAATGGCAAAGAGTTTACTAAATGAGGATAGTAATTCTAATAATAATCCCACATACCAATATTTCACAAATTCAAATAGACCTCAAAGAAAAGCCTTCTTTGATTTGGTGTGTCATGTGTGCTCTGGAGTCAAGGGTAAAGGCGTATTTGTGTTTTTATTTTTATTATTATTATTTTTAAAAAATCTGGCTTCAAACCAAAAATAAAAACACAACAAAACAATAAATTTTAAAATTAGAGAGATTTCAATTTATAAGGGTAAATGCTTCCCTATTTCTTATCCTCTTAATGTAAATAAGTATTGCTTCAGGATGGAAACAAGTTTGCTTTGATGATTGGGGCTATCATTTTGAACCTGAACTTTGTTAATAACAAAATTACTTCATATTTAAAATACATCTGAGATCAATAATTGCCGGAGTTCATAATTGTGGCATCTAAGACTTGGACTTGTTTTGGTTGAGTAGTTTTTCTAGGAAAAAATAAAAAGTATACTTTCACAAAATAAAATTTTAACACAGCAAAATAAAAATAGTGGGCAAGATCAACATTGGAATGTATGTTTCTATCAAGAATTGCACTAATGGAATACATTCAGATTGACTGTTTTGAAAATCCCTGTTGTACTTTTCTGTCACTTGCTTTAAACACATATGAATTTTTCCATAAAATGACAATCCATTGATAAGCAAATAGAGCAAGTCAACAGCAGTAAGTCAATTCTCTCTACATACTATTTTCCCCATTTGTATTTTTAGATTTACCTTCAGAATCAAAGAAAAGTGCTTAAAATCATTCAAATTGCATTTTTATCAGTGATAGTATAAAAATATCAGCATATGAAAATGAGCTGCAACTGTGATGTTTTATTTACTGTTCTACTCAATTTGTGGCTTTTAATAAATTAGTTATTTTGGTCATAATGCTTATAGACAATAGATGAAATTAAGTTTTTATTTCTCCCTCAATGCATGTGCTACCTGAGCCTGCTTAGAAATTATAACTGCACGGTGATTTGTGATTGAGCAGTGTAAACATTTAGAGAGGGGCTAAAAATCAAAGAAACAGCAGCTAAAATAAAATGCCATTATTCTGTTTTTAATTTTTTTGTAGTTGTAGATGGACAGCATGCCTTTATTTTATTTGTTTATTTTTATGTGGTGCTGATGATCGAACCCAGTGCCCCCCATGTGCAAGGCAAGCACTCCGCAGCTAAGCTACAGCTCCAGCCCAAAGTGCAATTATTCTGAATCCCTGAATATCTTTCCCTCAAGAGGACAACAGAACTCTTTCTATGACATTAGAGCAAATCCATATCAGCTACCCAGTTCTGTTCTCTTAAATATGAAAATACAATCAAAGATCACTGGGCATGTGGACAACCAGAATCAGGAAAGGAAAAAGATAAATTTGTGCACGTCACCAAGCAAGACACGTGAATAGCTACTTTGTAGAACAGACAGGACTTTTTAAATCCTCAAGAATTCTCACTCATAGCTCATTTTTGTTATTGGTAGAGTCATTTCTGTCCACCATACTTCTAAATATTGCAGCTCCTCAATATGGACTGAGACCCCTCTTTTTCTCTATATTCTTCCCCCGCATTGTCTTATCCAGTGCATGGCACCAACTGAACAGACTATGTCTCCACTTTTCACCCTCTTGTAAAACTCATATATTTAACTGCCTGTATTGTATCTCTATTTGATATCTAAGTTTATTTCAATTTTACATGTTTCTCATTAATTCCAAATCTGCTTTTTCTAAGTCTTTCTCATATTTACAAATGCCCTGGCCATTCATTACTCAAGCTATGTCATCTTTATTTTTCTCTACATTTTTTCTTCCCACTTGGGCCCTATATCACTATTTCCTCTGTTTGAAAAATCCTTCCCTGTGTCAGACTCTTTGCTTTGACCAAAACTTCAGTCAAGCTCCTGGCCCTTTCTGCCTAGGCCTAAGCTTGGGCTTTCTTCTCTTTCCTTGTAGAGTCCAGTTTGAGCAAGAATCCTACTAATTCAGTTTATTGAAGATCCTCCACTCTTAGTATCTGACCACCCTTGATATTTCATCCACTAGGTTTGGTTTAGCAATAATCACAACAACTCAATATAGCCAGAAACTCCTCACCATAAATACTCATTGAAGTCAAAATAATATATTTTAAGTAGATTATTAAAATTATAATGATTATTAATAGAACCAATATAAATATTAAACATTGGAGGGGGCAGGTAATGAATGAACCAAACCCTTATCTTTTATAAATGGGAACAAATAGATAATTGTTTGAAATTGAAGTCAAGAAACAGAAACTCTAGAATAATATGTAGAGCTATAAAAATGAATCTAGATAAAAGGAAGAACAGAAAATCTGACTCAAATTTGCCTCTGGGAAGTGGGGTGGGGAAAAGAATGAAGGAGCATAATCCCCTTGCTTTCCTTCCATTTTTACTGTAGAATTTGTTTGCATGTGGACATATTATTTTATTTTCTAATGGATTAAAAAATGGAAATTTCCATTCTTCAATAAATTGTTTTATAAACATCTGTTTAGTACAAGTCCTATGCTCAGTGTTCTCTGAGCATCTGTGTATCCTTACCTGAGTCATTCTTGAGTAGAGGAAGTCTGTGCATAATGGTGTGGATGGGTTCTCTTTGGTTCCTTCCTCATTATAGCATTTCTGTGAGTGTTAGATTCCATTTTCAAACATTAACCTGGAGGGCAGGCGGTTGAACCACATGACCAAATACTCAGTTTCCATCAGTTATTTATCTGGTTTAGCTGTAAATCAATCATTATCTGGTTTCACTGGATGAAAAAGGAATCTCTTCTTCTTGCTGCCTGGTTACAGGACCCAGCTAAGTGGAGTTTATTGCTGAATAGATTGAAGTCTTACATCTTTCCTTTGCCAGACAGAAGCATACAATCATCCATTCCTGGGATCCCAGGTCTCTTCCTTCTTTCAGTTTTTCTCCTTCCAACTGCCAGAAAGCAGTTTCCACACTGCAAAAGGTTTTCCTTTCTCTGGTCAAGGATTTAACAAGGGAAGAATTTATAGGCGAAATACGTAGTAAGTATTTCACCACCTTTCTGCTTCTGTGCCAAGGGCCTTACTAGGCATTGAGAATGGAAATGTGTCCAGACCCTGAGAGATAAATGGTTTGAATGGGTCACAGCATTCTTACAATGGAAAAGAACAAACCTGCTTCCATTTTAGCCAAAGTGTCCATTTACTTTTGCTTATTTATTAAGTAAAATTTTACTCATATTATCAATGATTTTATTAAATTAATTGCTTCCTCTGATTTAAAAAAAAAAATGTCAGGTAGGGAGCTGAAGGCATCCAGAGAGAGGTGAAGCAGAAGATTGTACTATGTTGTGTTCTAACAAGGATGGGAATGATATGATGCCAGTCTGCTACAAAACTTCAAGACTTGCCAAGTTTACAAAACTGGGTATTCACTTTCACCTCTCCCTTGTGATGCTTTAGCATCCTTTTAACTCCAAAATTTACAAAACTAGGGCTGGGTGTATAGCTCAGTTGGTAGAACATTTGCCTAGCATACACAAGGCCCTGGGTTCAATCCCCAGTACCAACACACACACACACACACACACACACACACACCAAAAAAAATTACAAAACTAGAAAAACTAGTTGTAAAACCCAACAAGGAAAATTTAAGCAAATTAGAAATGTATCTATTGGTAAACATTATTTTTGTTTCCAGGATGAAGTGGTTTAAAGATAATTTGGGCCCTTCTATGTTTTTAACTTGTTTAATTGAACAACTGTCCTAGTAACACATTTGCATCTCATGATATTTTCATGTATAGCATTTGTTAGTTAACCTGTGTCAAATATTTTTGTTCCCACCTAAAGGTTCAGGTTAAGTAGTAATTGGTCATTTTGCCATGGCATACATCAGATTGACAACAATATAAAGCAGCATACAGAAGCAAATTTCCAGGTTAGGAAGTGTGTAGACATAATAAGAAATTTATATTTGGTCTCTTTTCCTGGTCCCTGACACCAAGTTCCTAAAAGCCTTATAATTTCTTGAATTATAGGGTGATAGAAGCATAATTTGTTAGAATATTTGGGCTTAATCCCATTCCCCACAGAAGAAAGAAGACAAAACCTTTGTAATCTCAAGAGTGATAACAATGTCTTTGTGTATGTTAATAGAATGACTCATGATGGGTGGGTTTGCTGGATAGCTTCAGTAAGGGGGTTAGAGGCCAGGAAAAAACAAGACACATTAGACAGAGGATTAGAACTTTTCAGCCTCACTTCCCAACCTCCTAGAAGGGGAGCAAGCCAAGATCAAGTTAATCACCAATGCCCAATCAGTCATTCCTATATAATAGGTCCTCCATGAAAATCCTAAATGAAAGGGTTCAGAGATTCCCAGCTGGCAAACAAATACTTGTGCTGAGAGAAAGGAATGCTCCTTCCTCACATTTTGTCTTACATGTCTGCTCATCTGGCTGTGCATCTATAACTTTTAAATCCTTTACAAGAAACTGGTAAATCTAAGTGAAGTATTTCCTCAAGTTCTGTGCACCATTATTGCAAAGCAAAAAAAAAAAAAAAGAAACAGGAAAGATATTGTGGGAAATGCCTGTTTGTAGCCATGTTGGGCAGTAGTTGGGTACAACAGGCATCCAGTACTTGCAGAGGGTGTCTGAAATTGGAGGAGTGGGGAGGTCTTGTGAGACTGAGCCCTTAACCTCCTAATTCTGGGTCATTAGTGTCAGAACTGAATTAACCTGTGGGACACTCCTTGGTGCCTGCAGAGAACTGGGAAAGTGCTGTGAACAGAGGAACAGATGTGTCTTTTAGAGGTACCCAGCCCACTGAGCACCATGCACACTTGACAGAGGCTATGCTGTTTGCTGCTTTTTCTCATGCGTGAAGGTCCTCATGAAACATATAATCCCCAACCTTCATCCTAAATAAAAATCTACTCAATAGTCTTAGCTTTGTAACCACCTTTAAGTAAAAATTAATGCTGATAAATCACTATGAACATTCACAAAAGTCACATAACTAATAAACATCATGTCCTAAAGTTTTTCAATTTCTAGTTTTCCCTTACAAATTTCTGAGGCTACACAAATTTCAGAGTTCTACTATATTTCTGATTGTAGTTCAGGTAAAAGTCATCTAATTCCTTTACATTTAATCTAAAAAATGGTAATCTAATGTCTACTACCAGCTGTCTAAAATATCTGAATGATGTTTTCATTTGAGGTTTATATACAAGAGTAGAAAACATCAACATGGATTTCTTCCCACTTAGAAGTACCCCCTTCTATATACATTTGAACAAATACTGGAACTAAATTAATGAGGATGGTTGAGTTTCAAACAGACAATTCAAGGACAATTGTATTATTGAATCTATTCTTCACTGGGCTTAGGAAACATGAAATGTGTCCTCTGGGATATTGTATTTCTATAATGATTGAAAAGCTTACATGCAAAATCATTATTGCCATACAATTATTTTAAATAATTGGGGTTGTAGCTCAGTGGCAGAGCACTTGACTTGCACATGTGAGGCACTGAGTTCAATCCTCAGCACCACATGAAAATAAATATAAACTAAATAAAGATATTGCGTCCATGTATAACTAAAAAAATTTTAAAAATGTTATCAGTGTATTAAAATTCATGCAAATATACAATTATAAAATATTTACCTAAATATTTTTTCTTCTGAGCTTTTCTCTACTTACTAGAAAATTAAAATAGTTTATAAATGAATGTGTAGATCTCCAACTTAAGAGAAAAACCTTTAACATAAAATTTCTGGCAAATGATAATATAAATCTGAATCTGTCTTATTCAAGATGAAAATCAATTTATAATCCCATAAGCTATAATATGCTTGGTGTTAGACTTCATTTGCTATTAAATTTCATTGAAACCACCAACTACGTATCACAAAATAACTCCTTTGAATGTACACCTTCGAGATGTGAGAACTGTAATACTGAAATCTGAGTCACAAATATAATAGCAAATCTTGCTCAGATCTGTCTTAGAGGCTTCCCATCTCCACACAGTGCTACTGGCCAATGGATACCACAGCAATGGAGCACAGACAGGTAAACGACAAGGGAGCAGGGTTACCATCAAACCATTTATCTAAGGTTGCAACTACACCAAAGTTTTAATCAGCCCTACTGCAACTTAAACAGTATGAAAACAAGATTCTTTGCTTAGGAAATGTGTAATAAAAACTTTATGTAAAATTGCCTTCAGAATGCTTCCTTACCCAACACCTAAGCTAATTGCTTATCTCTTCAAGACACATAAAGTGATGAAAATAATTTTAGTCCATAGAAAGGCAAAGATATTTAAATTTCATAAGCTTTATTTTTTGTTAAAATTATTGTTTTCTCAGATTCTTTAACATATGTGGGTAAAATAATCTTTTAATTAGTCATTTTAGTTTTCACATTTTAAAGTTCCATGTGATTTTGTTTTAGATCACCTTCACATTTTTAATATGGCTTCAGGGGTTCTCTTTTTACTTTTTTTAACATTTTAAAACAATGATTTTTAAATGTTTATTTGTCATAACCTTATATAAAGCCTTATTTCTCTTATTTAAAGAGAAATAAAATAAAAATCCATGTTTATTTTCATATATCTATATATTTTTTGTACCAGGAATTAACCCAGGGGCACTTAATCATGAGCCACATCCCCAGCCTTTTTCATATTTTATTTAGAGACAGGATCTTGCTAAATTGCTCTAGGCCTTGCTACGTTGCTGAGGCTGACTTTGAACTCGCCATCCTCCTGCCTCAGCCTCCCAAGTAGTTGGGTTCACAGGCGTGCACCACTTCACCAGGTCACTTCCACACATCTTAAGAAACAGAAAATGGCCAATACTTTTGAAGCTTTCTGTGTGCCCTCCCTAATCAACTTTCTCATTCCTTTTCCTTTCTCTAACTCTGCCATGAACTGTGTGCATCACTCTTTTACTTTTTTGTAGTTTTCACATATATGTGCTTATCACTAATTAGTACATTATTTTAGTTTGCATTTTGTGTTTCATATAAAAGAAATAATAGTCTAGTCTTTGTTTTCAACTTGCTTCTTTTACTAAAACATTTTGGTTTTAAAACTGATTCCTGTTGATATATGTAGTGATAGTGTAGTGGTATATATCATTATATAAATACAGTAAGATATTTTTCCATCATTAATTGTGTTCTCTCTCCCTCTCTCTCATATTTACAAATTATAGTTTTGTCAATGTTATAGTATAACTCTTTCTCATGTACATATCCAGCCCTAGGAGAGATAAGTCATTGGAGATATATATATATATATATATATATATATATATATATATATAGAGAGAGAGAGAGAGAGAGAGAGATCGATATATAGATATATATCGATATCTATCTATCTATATAAAATCTTCTACTATAACAGTTTACAGATGATGCCAGTGTAAGTTCATGCTACTCTGCATCTTTATAAAAAATTGTTTCAGTTTTTAGTTTTAGCCAACTGTGTTGGTATAAAATAACTCACTGTCTACTTGGGAGACTGGAGCAGGGGATTGCAAGTTTAAAGATAGCTAGGGAAACTAAGCAAGGTAGCTCTTTAAAAAAAAAATAGGACTGGTAAGTAGATCAGTTGTAGAGTGCTACTGGGTTTATTCCCTAATACTGAAAAAAATTACAAATCCAAAAAAATTATTTTGATTTTTATCTCGATTATCTTGTTGACTAATGAAGTTAAATATGTTTTTCCTAAGTGTACTGGCCATGTGAGTCTCAGCAAAATTTGTTTTTTATTTTTTCTAAGGTATCATTCATCCTTTGCTTGTTGATTTGAATGAGTTTTAAAACATATGTTTCATTTTATTAGTTACATTATGAAACATAACTTATTTCATTCAGGGTCTTTTTTTTATATATATCTTCATTTTATTTTTATGTGGTGCTGAGGATCGAACCCAGTTCCTCACGCATGTCAGGAGAGCATGTTACTACTTGAGCCATATCCTGAGCCCAGGGTCTTGTTTTTAACATTGTTTTTTTTTTTTTCCTTCTTGATGATTTTTAAAATTGTAACTTGCTCTTATGTTTTCCATTTCATATTTTACATCTTTAATTATTACTAAAACCAAATGTCTTTTATTCCAAATAAATCTATTTTTGAATTATCCTAAGGGTATTATCTTGGATTTTTCTTTGTTTCAGCTGAGTGTTACACATGATCACTAGCTTTATTTTAATTTTGTGTTTGTGGCTCATCTTTGATTAGGCCTTACTGTGGGTAAGTTAGATTGAATACATGCAACTTCAGAAAGTATTTGCAACTACTTCTTCTAACACTACTATCATAGGACCACTTCATTTCATTTCTCAGCTCAGCATGGACACTGACTGGTTAATTTAAACTCTAGGCCAATGTGAAGGTAGTGAGCATTGAGGAATTTTCTGTGTAAAATAGGGGATTCTTTCCCCTGAATCAGAGTACAGGCAGACATATTTCTTATACATTTTCTTTTGCAGGCCAGCAGGTTACTTTTTTTAGTATTTTCTTTCTTTGAGAGTATAA